TTAGTTTTTATGATATTATATTATTATTATTATATATATTATTATGATATTATGATTAAGTATTATTATTATATATTATTATATTATGATTATTATTATTATTATGATATTATTATTTATTATATATATTATTATTAGTATTATTATTATATTATTATTATTATATTATATGATTATTATATTATTATTATTATTTTATTTTATTATTTTATTATTATATTAATTATTATTTTTTATTATTATTATTATTATTTTATTATTTTTTATTATTATTATTATTCTTATTTTATTATTATTATTTATATATATTATTATTATTTTTTATTATATTATTATTATTATTATTATTATTATTATTATTCTTATTATATTATTATTATTATTATTATTATTATTATTATTATTTTTATTTTTTTTTTTTTTTTTTTAAGCCCACAGCGGCATCGACTGCTAAGGCCATTAGCCGCTTTCCTCCTGCCCATATGGTCAATTGCCACATTCACCACAGGGGTAAATCTGGGTGATTCGGATGTTATGTGATGTAGCTCAGATTTTTTGAATACATAAAAAAAGAAGAACAAACATATAAATTAACTTATTACAGACAAACACAGAAAAAAAAATGTAAATAAGAATACCCACATACGCGTGGGTACCCTGTATTTACTTACTTATCCGACACCAGTGCTTCCTTATCTATCATAGACCTACAGCTATCTAATATATTTCTACATAGTAGTATCTTATTTAATAACGTTATACTTTACGGAAAAGCTTGGTAGATTTAAGGAAATTCAATGTATCTCCTACGTTGGCATTAGAGGATAAACAACCTTTTAAATCACCAGCTATGTTGTGTGCTCTTCTAGCAGCTATGTATGATGGGCACTCGATCAGTATATGCTTCCAAGTAAGCAATTCATTACACGTCTCACACCTTGGTGGTGGATTACCTAAAAGTATGTGGGAATGTGTAAGAATTGTGTGACCTATTCTCATTCGCGTAATTACGACCTGCTCTCTACGAGTCAGATGGGGAAGATTCCATTTTGTTACGTTCGGCTTGATCGTCTTCAAAAAATGGTTTGTTGAGTTCCATTCTTGCTGCCATTCATTAAGTAGCTGCAACCTCATGAATTTTTTCACGTCTTCAGGCACGACTGGTATGTTGAGGTATTCTTCCATTGTGGCTTCCTTGGCAGCTGTATCTGCTATTTCATTTCCATGGATTCCTACGTGTGCTGGCGTCCACACATATATGACCTGTGATTTCTTCTGTTGGAGCTGGTAGGTGGTCAAGAGAATCTCTTGAACTAAGGGGTTTTTACTGAATTTGTCAGAAATAGTTTGCAGTGAGCTCAAAGAGTCACTGCAGATTATGTATAAGCCCTGTTCCTCATCATCAATCAATTTTAGGGATTGAAGTATTGCGTATAATTCCGCTGAGAAAATTGAGGCCATTGGACTTAGGCGCCATTTGCGGGTTATCTCCGTAGTTGTTAATGCACATCCTATGCCCCCTTCGGTTTTAGACCCATCCGCATAAATTATTCTCCTTACGTTTTGGTATTTACCAATTATATCAAGAAATGTCTGTTTATAAAATGTAGGATTGGTGTGGCCTTTTTTGTATTTGGCGCATTCGAAGTTAACTTCTGGGAGTGACAGCCTCCATACAGGGCAATCTATGTATTTAAGACTATAGGTTGGGGGCATCTGAGTTTCTAAATCCTCGAGTAGCTTATGGATGCGGGCACCTGCGGGCTTTGTGATGGATGGTCTAGACCGATAAATTGAAATTTCTTCTTCCTCAAATAATATATTGTGGTTAGGGTGCTGGGGTTGTGCCCATATTTTTACGCTATAGTTCAGTAGCAGCTGCTGTATTCTGTAGCTTAAGGGAGGTATGCCTGATTCACAAAAAACGGACGCATTCGGTGATGTCCGGAAGGCACCAATGCATAACCGTATACCCTCCTTGTGTATTCTCTCTAATCTACTTAGATGGGATTGTCTTGCTGCTGAGTATACTATTGCTCCATACTCAAACTTGGACATGACTATTGATTTATATAATGAGAGCAACACATCCCTGTCTGCTCCCCAACTGATGCTTGAGAGACATTTAATAATATTTAAGGCCTTTTTACTTTTGATTACGAGTTCCTCTATATGATTCTTCCAGTATAATTTATCATCCAAGGTAATGCCTAATATGTTTATATGGTGTCTGTTAGCTATTGGTGTGCCTTTCAAAGTCAGAGCTGGTGGGTCATGATGTCTCCTTAGCCTGCAAAAATGTATGCATGCTGATTTCTGTGGAGAGAAGGAGAAACCCATTTTTTCGGCCTCGTAAGCTAATGTATTTATGGATGTCTGCAAAGTACCTACTATATCTTCCATTTTGTCTGCAGTAAAAATATTGTTAAGTCGTCAACGTATATACATTTCCCGACTTCTATTGGCACTTTTTCGATTAGCTTATTTATAGCCACAAGAAAAAGGGTCACGCTTAGAGTTGAACCTTGGGGAATACCGTTCTCTTGTCTGTATGATGCTGAAAGTTCTTTTCCAATACGTACTTTAAAATACCTGTGTTCTAGGAAGCCTGCAATGAAACGTAGTATGTATCCTCTTATTCCCCATTCATGCAGTGTTTTCAGTACGCCAAACCGCCATGTAGTGTCATATGCTTTTTCAATGTCAAATGATACTGCTACTGTATGTTGCCTTTTAGCAAAGCTTTTTTGAATGGCTGCTTCCAGATAGACTAGCTGATCTGTTGTTGATCTATACCTACGAAAACCCATTTGATATTTTGACAATAATCCATGTTTCTCTAGGTACCATATAAGCCTTAAGTTTAACATTTTTTCTAGTATTTTACTTGGGCAGCATGTTAGAGATATGGGGCGGTAGTTATTGGGATCCTTACTGTCTTTACCAGCTTTCGGGATAGGAATGATGATTGCGTTTTGCCACTGTTTTGGGTAAGTACCTTCTATCAATATTTTGTTATATAGTTCTAGTAGTTTTTGTTTTTCACTTACAGGTAAGTGTTGTATCATTTCATAGTGTATAGTATCTGGACCAGGTGAAGAGCTTTTGACCTCAGCGAGTGCGTACTCCAGTTCATCCAAAGTTACAGGAAGGTTATATTCAGATATATTTTCCTCGTCGAAGTCAATTCCCACTTCTTCTGCTTCATTTTTTTGTTGGATGAAGTTGTCAGCATATCTTTCAGTCCCACTATTTATTTGAAATCGTTGTGCCAAAGTATTCAAGATTTCGTTCTTTTCGGATATTTCTTGGTTATTAACGATGAGAATAGAACTTGGTAGAGTTAATGATCTTCCACTTATAGCTCTTATCTTTGACCAAATTTCTGAAGTCGGGGTCTCAGAGGTTATTGAGGAAACATAATTTTTCCACGATGCTTTTTTGCTGTTGAGTAAAATTTTCCTCGCATTAGCTCTACATTTTTTGAAGCGTATAAGATTTTCTTGTGTAGGGTATCTTTTAAATATGTTAAGTGCATGGTGTTTTTCTTTCAATGCTCTTTCTAATCTATCATTCCACCAAGACACTCTGGGCTTTATATTAATGGGAGAGGTATAACCTGAAACAGGGATACTCACTTTAGCAGCGTCCAAGATATTTTCGGTGAGCTGTTGCACAGATTCTTCGACAGATTCTTTAAACTCAAGGGCTTTGATGTTTTCTTGGAACTTACTCCAATTTGCCTTTTTAATTTGCCATTTTGGGGAGGAATAGAAGTTTGAACATCGGGTCGCACATTTTATTCTAATAGGCAGATGATCTGAGAATTGATCGTCCATTGTTTCCCAAGTAAACAGATGTGCAATTTCAGGACTGCAAACTGTTAGATCTATAGCGCTAAGTTTAAGAGAGCGGATATTAGGAAGGTACCTGATCCTGAGTTCAAAACCACCAGGTTATATTCGTTGATGATATCTTCTATAAGGCGGCCTCGCATATCAAGTTTCTCTGATCCCCATAATGGGTTATGGGCGTTGAAGTCGCCCAGTATGACACAAGGTGTAGGCAACTGAAAAAAAGTTGCCGCATTTGTCTTGATTCCCAGCTGAAGTCTGGGAGATAGATGTTGCATATAGTTAGTTTAACTGGCTGGAAGATTTGTACTACGATTGCTTGCAATTGTGAGTCAACCATGATTTCATTAGATGGGATATCTTCTTTTATAAGGGTCGCTACGCCGCCTTTGGCACGAATATTCCTAATGCCATTTTTCCTGTAACATGTATATCCACGTAGGTTTATGCTGTCTGATCTGCTAGATGCGTTTCTTGAAGGCATGCACAAATTGGTGCCTCATTTAACAGAAGTGATTTCAATTCTGGGTGGTGCGTTTTATATCCATTAATATTCCATTGCACTATAGAACACATTGTGTGAAAAATAAGTGTAACTATAAGTAAAAGGTGTATATATATATATATATGAGTATAAAAAGATATAAATATAACTATGTATAAAAAATATGGATAAAAAATGCATTTTGCAAAGTAATATCACAGAAGTCATCGTTACGTAATGCTAGTTGAGATCAATTACATCGGAACTAATCGTCTTATCATCTGGAGGCTTTCTGGGTTTTCCCTTCGGCCATCCCTTTTTTTTCTTAGCAAGTGAGGATGTTCCGCTGGCTTGTGACGAAAGCTTTCGTCAGTATCGTCTGCGGGATCATCCGCATTATCCTTTTGGATAACAGTACGTTTCCTCTTTTCTGAAAGAGATGGTTGAGTAGACGTATCCGATAGGTATTGGTTAGGAGGAGGTAGATTTAAAGGTGTCAATGTCCGTACTGGTCTATTTACAAATTTATCAAAGGTTTGTTTAATCTGTGTTTCTATCGTTTTTGAAAGCAGAGGAAGGAGTTCTTCAACAAGTTTATTAACTGTAGCACTTGGGGTAGCGGTAACTTGAGCGTATGACACCCGGGGAGATGAGCTAATTACTTTCCTTTTTGCCTCCAGATAACTAATTTTTTCTAGCGTCCTCACTCTTTGGATGGCAACTTCTTCCTTCATCCGCGGACATTCTCTAGAATCAGCAGCATGCTGTCCTTCACAGTTGATACATTTCTTATGTTCATTGCACGGCTCTCCTGGGTGATTGGGTTGACCACAAGTACACATTTCGGTATTAGGACATTTCTGGGATGTATGACCAAATTTCTGGCATTTGAAACACCGCAAAGGGCTTGGGTAGTAAGGGCGAACATCAAGGCAGCTTTAATTTTATTAGGTAGATTGGGTCTATCAAAAGTGAGAATGAGATTTGGTGTTTCTATAAGTTCCTCACCTCTTCTACGCATCATACGTTTTACGTCAATAACTCCTTCTGTTTTCAGGCCGTCCAATATTTCCTCCAAAGTGGAGTTCAAAAGATCAGCACAAGTAATAATTCCTTTGGAGTAATTAAGCGTGGAATGCGCTTTAACTACAACATTAATCTCCAACTCTTTGTGTTTGCAAAAGTCTGTTTGCCTGGGTTGCGGTACTGGTTTCCAACAGTAGCCCAGATTTGATTTTCTTTATTAATTTCAGGTTCCCAGCAATTCCAAATAATGTTCTTGACACAACAAAGGGGCTTACTTTATCAAAGTTACCCCCATCAATCCGTTCGACCACCAGAAACCGGGGGATGGTTCCCTCCTTTCTCTGGCTGGCCGTGGCCGCTTGCGCGGTAGCTTTCCCATTTCTGGGTGGGTTTTTGGTTTGTATTTCATCCATGCGAATTTCAAAATGCTTCACCTTCCCAGCTCCCCACCCGCCACGGAGTCCTCATTGGGGATGCCATGCCTGCAAACATAGTTCGGGACATGGACACCAGGGCTGCTGAAGAAGGAAAGTATAGTCTTCGCATTGCGGTCCGGCATGGCCAAGGGTAGAAATAATCCACACCTGTCTGCTTTCTTCGCAATGCGAAGGCTCGCCCAGCCAGCCCTCTGACGGGATGGCACAGCCGATTGACCGACGCTGGGCTAGGCGCGGCCGCCCTTCTAGACTGACCGCCGGACCAAAGTGGCGTGTTGCCCCCCTGACTGGTAGGGCTCAACCACCAGGATTCCATTGGCCAGCTTACGGGTCGCCGGGCACGGCACAAACACCCGGGAGGCTAAGAGGAAGCCCCACGCGCCGCCTCAACGCATGGAGTAAGGAAAGGACAAGGAAAGTCGTGAGGGCAGCGGACAGCTGCACAGGATATAATAAAAGGAGAAGGATGGGAGAAAGGGGGAAGGAAAAGCCCAGGGTTTGGCAGAATGAATAAGACTACCAAACCCCGAACTCCCTGCCTGGGGCCGTGGGGGCGACGCTCCCCATGTATCTTCCCTTGAAACCGGATCAAAGATCCAGCTTCAAAAGTAGATACCCCCTGCTATATTATTATTATTATTATATTTTATTATTATTATGATTATTATTATTATTATTATATTTTATTATATATTATTATTATTATT